GTTTTGCCATTGCCTTCTTCTGTGTGTGAATGGCGTAATTGTTGGGATGCCACGGAGGAAAACTCCGTGTTGCCTAGACCACGGCCTTGCCCAACACAAGTTATAAATTCGGGCACCGCCGGGAATCGAACCCGAGACCCCAGGATTACAAGGCCAGCGTTCTGACCGCTAGACCACCGCGGCTTATCCTCTGAAATATGACTTAAAAATGTATCTTCATTGACGGGGTTTTTCATCCTGGAATTATTAGTATCAATTCCGTTTTTAACTAAATTTAGCTGGTACTTTGGCTGAGTTTTGAACTCATATTTTCCGATTATCACTCAGCTAAACTGCTCAGTGTGTCCACTAGCATTGCCTCTTCCTTACCTCGGTGCACGGAACTTGTCCTCCGCCCTCATAAACAACGCAGTTCGACAAACAGCAAAGCGTTCGTGATGCAGAGTCGCGTTGCGCGCGATCTGATCTGCACTTTAATAAAAGTGAAAATTACTGCGCTTGCGCAATCCCGTCTTCACACTCAGTCAGCCACCCATTAAATTTGCCTGGTCAGCGCCGTTCCTGTCACCGCGTAATTCTTGTCTCTGTCTGTTTTCGTGCGCCACCGAACACTCAATGACGTCATCCTCCGCGCGTGTTGCTGTTATCAGCTGTTCAAATTAGGTGGACGCAGAAATTCTGTCTTTTGTTTTATATCTATAGATCTTCAGTTGTCACTGCATTTCTCTTTAATGAATGATTATTATTATTGCAATATTTTTTTATTTTGTTAAATGAAGGCGTCACCAAAATTGAAAAGTATCTTTATCTCTCTCTGGCGACGTAAAATTCTTTTAAGCCCTTGTTTTAAACACGAACAAACATCTTTCCTGAACACGACCGTCTTCTAAGATGTTTTACCATACAGTCTGGTAGAATCACCCTGAGGGTGGAGATAGCATGCTCCTCTGAATGGTCAGAAAACTACCGGAATGCATGGTGCAGCATCTCAGAACACAGTCATCTTCATAGTGACTGCCACGATGAACCATGAATCTCACGAACACCCTGTTTCTTCGCCATAGATCGCGTTGCATTCGTTTCCACATTTTTGAAGCTTCCTTCCTCTGAAATATTTCTCGTTCATGTCCAAAAAATCTTTTTTGTGTAGTGGAAAATTCTGCGGAAGGTAATTAATTACTAGGTGAAAGTAATATTAATAAGATATTTAAAGGAATGAATCTGTACGAATTTAGAGCAAGTACGAAGTTTGTTCTAGTCAGTCCGCTGGTCAATTAACCCAATACAGAGTTAAAATATCTGCGATTTCCGGTCGTTAACAGGTGAAAACTTTTCTGAATTTTGTTAAAAAAAAGGTAATATTTTGAAATATCCATTGTGGCCTTTGCTGTTATTCTGAATTAGAATGTTTCAGTAATAGAATCAGATAGAGATATTGCGTGTTTACGAGGCGCTCAGATTTGACTCTTGCCTTCTGAATTCCAGAGAAGACGTCGTTGCTGTCACGCTTGTTCAGAAGAAGCGGGCGCAAACAGAGAGGCTCATCGGCGCCACCGGCGGCGCTGGCCACGTTTTCAGCGCAGTTCCCACCCGTGGAGTGGTTCAATCAGCGTGTGGTTCACCTGCACTCCGTAGGAACCCAGACCCTGAACTCCGTCGCTTCACAACGCTGTGTGAGTACGAACAAGTTTCATCATTTCCCGCTCCGAAAAGTACAAATTTCTGGGACCGTGCTTCAAAGTTTCTGATCGACTTCACAGTCTGGCCAACTTTGCCCAGACAGAGCTGTTCTGGACGTGGTAAAGTAAAGCAAAGATGTCCCATGGCTTGGGGGGAGAGGAGGGTGTAGCTTAACCTCGGCACTAGATGGGAGTGAGTGCTTATCGTCGCGCCCCAGCTGCGCTTAGCCCCTGGGAAAGGATCTCGATACCCATTGGATAGGAGGCTGGGTGGGCCCCAGAGCCGGTCTGGACACAGAGGCTAGAGGAAAAATCCTCTGCCCCGTCTGGGATCAAACCCCGGTCGTCCAGTCTGTAGCTAGTCACTATACCGACTGAGGTACCGTGGTACTGAAGGAAAGTATCAGCTCTCCAGTTTCAGAATTGAATCTTGAGCATTCCCATTACCATTTGATCTGTCATGGCTTAATTCCCAGTTTTTTAAACTCGTTTTACACTTCTTTGTGTTTGAATTTTATTTCTAAATAAGTTTTTCTGCATCTCAGAAATGTTTACATGTACCGTGTTCGAAACAGCGAGCTGCAGGATTGTCCTGTGAGCCGCTCTACTGAAGAATACAAATGATAAAGCTCATTCGTAAGTAACATTTCAGAATTTGTCTCCAGGCTACAGTAAAAATTTTATTTTGTTAAGTCTTACTTCACTTGCGTCGTAGCCCACAGCGATGTTGACGCCGCACCTCACAATATTTACAGGTATTTTTGAATTGTTTCTAGGTTGATGGCAGTCTGGTACCCTCACAGGGCAGCATCCCTCTCTGGACAGATGAAGATGGCGCGTCATCCCGAGCGGCTACGCTGCCGCGTCGCCACAGACGCCATGCTTCTGGGGACTCAGCCACATGCAGCATTGTAACTAATGCGTCTCCAAGTATTGTGACCAATCACGCGAGCAACATTACCCCTCGTTCATCTCGTCGTCAGCGCTCGTCTTCGCAGAGCTCGACACTTCCGCGGAGATCTACCTCATCTAACTCGAAGAGCGACATTCTTTCGCGGTCTACGTCGCGAAACTCCATCCTTCCCCAAACGCTTGGACACAATCCATCGCCTTGCAAAACCTCTGCAACCACCATTTCGTCAAATGAGAAACCAAATCAGCAGTCAACTCCCTCCAAAATATCATCTCAAGTGTCTGTAATCAGTCCTGGCATTTCACCGAATAAGTCGTCTGTTCATCAGAACAGCGCTTTATCACCGGCACAGTCATCAAACATAAGCAAAGCAACTCCTAACACTTCTCCAAGCAGAAGTCTGGCAGGAGGTCCTTCAAGCAGCTTGTCCTCGAACAAGAGTCTTCCTGGAAGCTCCTACTTGCCCACCAGTAGCAGTAAGATTCCCACCAGCAGTGGGGCGAGTCCTACCGTTAAAAGTGTCAACTCAAATCGTAATTTGGCTAACTACCCCTTGAGGAAGAATGGCGCAGCTGGCAACAGTGCAGACATGAAGAGCGGCAATCAAGTCGGCCCTCAGAAGAACGCTTCGGCATCGTCTCTGTCGCCCGTTGGGAACAAGAGCTCGATTACCCTCCAGGTGTCCACCACAAATAGAATGTCGCCGCCACCTTCAAGTTCAGGGTACTCCAGTCATTGTCAGTCCAGCAATGGGCGTGCAAGTGTCCTGTCTTCGGCTTGCTCGTCCACGGTAGTACCGCCGTTCCAGAGGAGCGTTACAGTTACTGCAGAGTCCCCGGATGATCGTTCAGCAAACACGACTACCACAACTGCTACTATCAATAGTAGTTCGAACACCAAGATATACGTCCAGCAACAAAATTCTCCCGTCAGATCCGTTATTACGTTTGAAAATGGTGTGAAGAACAACGCAAATGTTTTGCCGAATAAAGATGTCGTGATACTGAATGGATTTTCCTCGCGCGCCGATGATAAGAACCACGCTAATGGGAGTGTGTCTACCAACATCGAAAAAATTAAAGGGAACAGTGAACATTCAGAGACGAAAGTCGAGAGACCAAAGTCTCTGTACAGCCCAAGAGAGAAGATGCAACAGGGACGTGACAGCTATTCTAAGTCTTCCGGAAATAAAATGGAGAGGAGGAAGTGTCCCTCGCTAGAGGCCATCGACTCCACCGTAGATTTTTCAAGCGTAGAAGGAGCTACGAAATATAAGCTCACTAACAATTTAAATAGCAATAATAATATTACTGATAATGTTTTTAGACTGCCTTCTTCTTCTTCTCCTCCTGCATCGAAGGGAGGTAACATAAGTTCAACCCGTCACCCAAACTCGCAACCGCCCTCCACACAACCGACTTGTAGCGACCCAACGATGAATAACGCTCGGATTCTACGCAGCCTTTCGGCGTCTCCGGCGCTGCCCGCGCGAAGCAAGGAGAACCTCAGTTACAAGAACGTACTTCGAAATGAACCACTGGATGGGATGGCGCCATTAAATCTTAATCGAGAAGGAATTAAGAAAAACTTCTGCAGCAATCCGTCAAGTCCTACAAAGTCTTTTGATAATTTTGGCGGTTCGTACGGTAATCTTTACATTGAAGGCGTTGGAGACTCTGACAAACTCGCAGCTTCACACGCACCAGGACTCTCGGCCAAGGAGAAAGTCGAGGAAGACGGCAGCGTGTCTAAAAGCCGTGAAGGTGGCAGTATGGATCTGTGTCCATACTCTAGCCTCAGTGACCTTACGGTCCACTTCAAGTCAATTGCAGCGCAGAAGATTTTGAAAGGTGTCAGTATCAACAGCATTGACACGTTGGTAGAGGTCAATATGGCAGCAGCGGAGAAGCAGAACAACTGTGATGTCACAATTCACACTGACTTTGGCGTCGTGTGAGACTTGACGTCCCATCTTCGAGGTGAGTGAGCGAAAGTCGAGGGCTGCAGGAAGGAAGCGTCGTCCGGTCTTTTTAGACGCGTGGGTGTTCATCAATGAATCTGTATTTTAATCAGCCAGATGCAGGTATTGATTTAATACCAGTATTTAACAACATTCTAAGTTAGTGTAGATGGAAATCCTGGAAAGTCCGGACGCTGGTAATGTCGGTTTTATTTAACGACATTGCCCGCAGCTCAGACAGACTATACAGCGCTTAATGTTAGGATGATCGGTGAACAGTGCATTGCTGAAGATTAGGAAGGAAGCAGTCCTGTACTAATTTCAGCTCCTATTCCAGTAGTTTCCTGGAGGGACTGAGGAAAACCATGTAGAACCTCGGTCGGGGTTGCTGGCCTCTAGGCCAGAAATTTAACCTGGGATCTCTCAAGTACAGGGCGCTAACCGCTTTGTTACGTTATTTGATTATGTGGCTGGTGTGGATGTGCAACGCAGACTGTTACAGCCTGTGCACGATGACCGGATGATGTGGTACTTGGTGCTGTGATAAAATGCAATTTAATAATATAAATAGTGTCCGAACGTGACGGTGGTAAGATTTTTTTAGTTGTGAAGTACAGAATTACCTCTTGTTGCAGGTGTCCAAAGCAGTGGATTCTGCGTCCTGACCAGAAGCCTCAACACCGTCGTTTGCTCAACGTGGAATCCGCAGATCGTTGCTTTTCTCGATCCCGGTCCTCGTAACGTTCACACACTGCTCTTTGCGTGCAGAATATCAGCTGTCAACTGCGTGTAATAGAGCCAATGCTACAATTTACACATGACCTTGAAATAATGCCATGTGTGGTCGGTTTTGCCGTGTTTCATTATTTTTTCATCCCTGATTAAATCAGTCAATCAAAATTCTTCCAGGCCAGTCTTCTGTTCATCGGTGTAGAAGGATGTTATTTCTCTCTCGTTTGAAACACGATGCATGTGGTAGTGGTGCATGGAATTTTCATGCGGACGTCAGGTGAAGTTGGGTGCGCTTTTAAGATAAGCAGTTACAGAGGGATGCAAAACTGTTCCTTGGTGGTACATAGTCCATAGTTCATATACGTGTTCATTGTACCCTAGGTTTGCTTCTAGGGTGCTAACTGAACAAGCGCTTGACATGCGATGGATGGAATAAATTGGAACACCTCTTGTAACGGTGATTGACGTCAAATGTTACCCTTCTTTGTTCGACACATCGCTCGGTTCACAACGGCTTCCATTGCTAAACACATTAAAAATAAATACATAAATAATTAACGTGAAATTTAAAATATCAAGGTATAAGAATTTTATAGGACCGGCAACCGAGTTTCTGACGTGTTTCAGGTTAGAAACTTCGAAATCGTAATAAATTAGAACAGGCAAATTGTTAACGAAAGCAATATCAGAAAATATAACAAGGCTTTTGCAAGCGACGGTAAATAACTATTTGAATAACTGGGTGTTCGTTGACGAACTGATAAGGGACGGTGGAGAAGTAATGTTTTGACCAAACTTGGCAGCTGACGAATAACGAGAGTCCAGATTTCTTGCCGTTTCCTTATATTTTTAAAAAGTTGCTGAGGTGACGGAAATGATGAAGCAGGACGTTTTGTGTGAACTGTAAAATAAAGTCAGCGTCGTGCTGACTGAAGTAAGTAGGATAAATTGTGGGATCACCGCAAACATAATTCTTGTCTCTTGGGATCTCAATAGGGTCGAGAACTGTCTTCTGGGGTAAAGTTGAGTCTGCTGTTCACTGGCTGAATGCTGGTGAATTTGCCTTGTAAAATTAATCTCTGGTACATGAAATTAATTTACATTCTTCATGGATAAGGCTCTGGTCTTTTCCAGTTCATAATTTTGTCTGAAACTGTGAATCCTTGGAAGGACTCCCCCATGTTCAAGCAACTTAACGCGTGGCCTGTACGTACGCACCACATCTGTGCCTCGAGCAGGATTCGGACCCGCAACCCCTGCGATCCGGTGGTCCATGACGGTACGAGCACGTAGCCGCTGCGGTCGCCACAGGATTAAAACATTGCTCCTCCTAATGTAACCCTGAAAATGGGGTGGATTTATATCGTAAAATTTACTTAAATTAACCATTTAATTAATTTGATCACTACCTTGAGCAAGTTCTTGTAAAGAACGCCTGTTTTGCCTGCGTGCAACGTATGAGGATGTCGTCGTAGATTTATGGCTCGTACATGATCTGATGCCTGTGATCGATACGCAGTTTTTAAAATCGAGTTTGACAGGGTGGCACTACTGATAATTGAAATCATGACGCTGAAGGAAGACTTCCGACCAACTATTAGCATATTAAGTGGTAAATGTGTGCGCTGCGTTGTCAGTAACAAACATGGCGGTTCTGTGTCTGTCATGTGAATTAGCGTCGCGGTGTTGCCGTGTCTGGCAGCAGATTGGTTAGCTTACTAGCGTAATTTTGCTACAGAAAGTTATTTGGTATTTTTATAATGTAAATTACTGTATTTGGGCACAAAATGTATGCATGATAAAATAAAAATGCAGCACTTGTTAGTGTGGGAAAAGACGGCCGTTGGGATCGCACAAATTTTCCAAAAATCAGGCAATACAATACCATTCTTTAGTGACGTTCGTCCTGCAATTCACAAAAATTTTAGTAGTTATCTACATAAGAACAAAGTTTTTCTAACTTATTCAGTTTGCTGGCTTTCGCTGATTCGGTTCCATTTCTCTGTGTCAGGACTTTGCACTATCAAAATCAAAATGGCAACTTTTATCAAAAGAAAATTTATGTATGAATACACTGAATGCTGAATTTCCTCGTATACGCGAAGTGTTGTAAGTTTACGAAACCCTGCCCTTTGTTGCGTCAACCCTCATTTTAAACTTTTGTGACCCTGAAAGTTTTGCACCTTCAAAATTCCTGCCCTGTTCTTACAGTCGACAGTCTTTGATCGGACGTTTGTCGAATGCCGTTTTCTACGTACATTAAGTGCACCCACTCGGGAAGACAGCTGGTTAATCCTGTTTATGGTCAGAATCGTGTGACGCCACTGAAATTTAAAGGTTTAATAATATTTTTAAATTCAGATTTAATAACGGACCCTTAAGAAAACATTTAGAGTGTGAGATTCCAAGGAAGGCCCCTGTGGGATAATATCGAGAGCGACTGACGTCTTGATTTATATGCCAGCGTGTTTGAATGCTGCTAGCGAGAGATTTTATGTTCCGAAACAAATCTGACTGCCACGGGATGGCAAAAAAAGCATTTATAGGGGGTGTGTCGAGTAGCGAGTGCTGCTTGCGTTCTTCTATCACGTATACGTTTGGATTTGCCTTGCTGTTACGAGGTCAGTATTGTTCAGTATGAGAGCGAGGTTCCCGCTGATTTCCTTTTAAGTTTTTTCATATTCATGCCCTGTGGAGGGCGGGTTCATTCATTTTTATCATTTACTTAATGTATATATATATATTTTTTTTTTTGTTATTGAAATGTGTAATTAAACTGAGTTAGCGCGTAATTTTTTGGATACTGATCAGTAGAAAGTACTCCATTTTGAAATGTACTGTACTTAATATTCTGCCTTTTTTGGTGGAAACCTTTTTTCTGTCGTGTACATTTAATGGTTCCATTCAAGAGGCTTTTTTTTATGGAGTAACATACGAGCTTGACATACTTTCAACTCAAGTGCCAAATTACTATAATTCTACTTTTATTAATCATTGCTGAATGTAAATTTATTTGACTTAATAACCCCAGTGTGTGTATGTAATAAAGTTCATGCATAATATAACTGTGTCACTGTTTTATCCCTTGCCGAGCCCTTCGGGGAGACCGTTCTTACTCCCTGGGGCAAAGCCCCCTCCAACACTTGCTGCTTAAGTCATTTCATCTCCCATCCATTTCACTGGCTTTCCATACCCTTGGCCTAGCTGGGCTTGGACACCCATCGTGGGACTGCTACCCAGTTTTTAGGCGGACTAGAGGACTGAGGGAATCACCACATCCCTGGAGGTGAGACTTGATGCTTGTTCGTCATGTGACAGTGACCTTGAATATCATTTTAGGTTAGGTTGTGTTGCTGTTGTCATGATTTGTGATGTGGTACAAAGTACATGTTTGGAATTTCAGTGTAGTGCAAAAGTGTACACCTAACCTAACACCATTAAGAGTTTCCGCCATTCTAATAACAATTCCTGGCTTCAAGGGCTGATTGGTGGACCCCCTCATGAAACAAAAAGTGAACAGTGTAAACAGTTTGTATTGTTCGTCTACTCGTATACGTCTACTCTTATATGGTGCATTTGTCCCATCGAGTTCAGGGGGTTGGTGCACCTCTTCCCGAAAACGTGCCAACATTTGAAAGATTAAAAATACGCAAACCTGTGCACGGTATTTGACAGGCCAGACACTGCAATATCCCGACTTCAAGTCTTGGCGTCTTCCTATTTTCCAGGGAGAGGTAATGCGATGGGCGTTCACCCATGTAGGAAGTCCTGATTTCTGAGGATTGTGGCCGACCCCGACCGTCGTCCAAGGTCTGAAGGTCTGACCTCGATCCTCGTGGAGCAGTGACGTCATAACTTATGCTAACCGCTTTCAGCACGCCTCAGTTGTGTTCCGTCATCTCGTGAAACAACAGCTAGTGAGACCAACTCCTGCGAAGTTGCCTGACAACCGTGAGTAAACTTTTGTTGTTTAGAAACGTTGCTTCAAGGAAATTGTTCGCTTTTATGTAGTTTAAAGAATTTAATGTAATTAGGTTTTATACTAACGTACTGATCCGTCCTTTTATGCCATTGCAAATTTGAATAAATTATGTTGGGAACAGCTTTTAACTAAGAAACATGAATTGCATGCAGAATGTGGTCCAGAAGTAAGTCACTGCAGGCAAGTTTATTTATTTGAAATTGTTCTAGTCCCTGAAGTTAGGTTAGGTCAGGACCAGAGTTGCCATAATATTCGTGTTGAATGATTCGTAACGTAGTCTGTTGGCGACACATTGATAGCACAAAAATGTGGCCCTCGGAACACCAAACCACACCCCGAATTTTACCATGGAACATACGGAAAGCGACAACTTTACAGACCAAAACAGAGAAAGGGGGACGCTTATGTTAATAGAACGTGTTTTGATGGGTGGGTTGAACTGCATTGTTTAGCGAAGAATTCTGTGTTCGAGGTATCGTAGAAATAAGTTGGGACAGCGTCCTTTGGCATAACAGAATGAAACCAGCAGAGACAATAAACAACAGTTACCTTGAATCATGTATAAATGGAGTTCCTCGTTTGAACTGGACAGTTACTTTCACTGCATTTATCTGTTGTTACTAAAATCAAAACACTGGAAATTGGTAAAGCATCGTGCAATAAGGTGCGTGATGCCGTACTTAAAAGAGCTTATTACTCTAGAAGGCTTGGTTTTATGTACACAAATAAATCCCATAAATGTTTACGATCGGCAGTTGCTAGGGATTGTTTAAAACAGCTGTTAGGACACGCTGCCATGTTCTTTGTTATCGACTGTCGGGGCAAGTTAAAGACTGTATATCGAACATTCCTGAGAGTTTATTAAAAATTATGCTTTCTGTTACTAAGATGCAAAAATATTTATTTTTGAGGGATGTATCCTGTTGAATGTTAATTTTCAGATTAACAGTCCGTCGACACATCGATTTTTTTTATTATAGTCTCAGTGTTTATTAAGTTCGACTACATGTTTCGACCTTATTTGGTCATCTTCAGGTGGATCTCTTTACGTGCTCAAAAATAATAGATAAGTAATTTGACTGTTTCGTAAGTCGTTTGTTAAAATATCAGAATATTTAAGCTGTCTGTGAGTTTAAATCACTTAGGGTTATTAATCTTGAGGCAGAATGAAACTTTCATTATGCACTTGGTACTCCATAATTTTACATTATTAATTTATTTATATCAATTAACTTTTTAAAGCCGAAGCTCGTCTAAATAGCATTTAAGAATCCAGTCCGTACCGCGAAGTAAACACAACGCTTCACCGTTACAAAGATCAACTGGTTAACGCTGTTTAAGGAATTAATCGCTGTTTATTCTGATAATTAATTAACCCTTCGAAGCCGAAGCTCGTCTTAATAACATTTAAGAATCCAGTCCGTACCGCGAAG